GATCAATATATATGTAATAAATAGAATTCATAGCATAAAATAATATAAAATAAACAACATATTTTTTCTAAAATGACAAATTATATCTCTCTTTTATGCCCACAGCTTGTAACATTGAAATTTTGTTAAATTATACAAATGGAGAAGAATATAAGAACTAATTAAAATTTCATATATAATGTTATAAATTAATAGATATTAGTGTTCAATTTCGAATTATTTTAACTAGGTTTTCAAAATAATATACATCATTTAGAATAAAATTGTGTGACATATTAATAGAAAAAATATTTCCGGTAATTGTGCATTGCTTCATATTATTCGTAGCTGTATGTATATATATATATATATATAAACGAAGGTTAATGAGGGATGAAAATGATGGCTATTATTTTTATTAAAAATTTAATTCAATATACTAAAATTTTTATGAATGTATAATAAGCTTTTAACTGATGTATGATAATATCAACATATCAAAACCTCTATAAAATATATGAAATTATAAATTTTTATGAAGTATATGAATCATAAAAAAGATATTTATTATGCATTATAATATTATTACATGAGTGAAATATTTATAGAATATCTATTTAATAATATCTTTTGTTTTCCATTTAATAGAACATACTCCATAGATTCTTGATGTATTTTATATTATTTTGTATGTAATAACGTCTAATTTATTTATATATATTATCCATCAATTTTGCTGTTGTATAATATATTTATTGCATTATGAAGTAAAATAAATGTAATAAAATTAATATTATTCTTTCCTTTCTCTTTAATTACAGTATAATGCCTGGTATCGGGGTTGTGAATAATATAATTTTTTTAGTATAATAATTATATATTTTAATATATTTATTTACACAATACAAATATGTAGTACTATATTCTGTTAAAATTAATAATAATAAAAATGCTCAACTTAAAAGATTTAATTCTCAATTGATCTCATTATAATTCTCTTAATAGAAATTAAAATACTATATACAAATTCAGAAATGTATAATTTTTTGTTTTTATAATGCTTTTATTTATTTCGATTTATTTTTCACTTATACTTTCCTCTGTAAATTATATAAAAAAATTAAATCGAGTTTTAGTTATATATTTTTTCTTTCTTACATAAGAAACGAATGAATGATTAGAATAGTTGAGAATAGTAATAGGTATACCTAAAATATTAAGAAATAGATGGTTTTTAAGCAATCCATATGCTCTCTTTTTAAAGTAGAATTAATAAAATAATTTCAATAATAGCACATTATTTAATTATTTTATATTATATCAATCCAAAATATTATAAGGTGCGTTTTTGATATTTCAATTTTATATTACTATATAATACTAAATCCTTAAATGTAGTAGTTTATACTCATTTTCTAATAAAGCTTATTTTAATATTTTTTTTCCTTCAAAATATGTAATAATAAATTGTAATATATATTCATAAATATATGGTTAAATATATTTTTATTATATATTGATTGATTATAATATTGAAAATATGTAAAATCTAACAATAATGCAATAAAATATATTACTGCTAGAATTATTGTATGTTTTATTATAGACATATATATAGCACACATTAACAAGCGCAATAAATTTTTTAAAATAAATTTGAAATGATACTAAGGACATAATTCTAATTTGAAAATTTCATATACTCACACATTAGTGTAATTGAAGTGCATTTTAGTTACTATTAATAAAAAGTTTCTTAATTTAAAACTAATTAATAGTAATATAAGGACTAAATTTGCATTAGGAAACTATCAATAAATTATAAAGTTTATATGTAATGCTATATTGTTTCTGGATATTTTATTATTTTTAAAAATTATATCTATATTATATAGAATATTCACTATTCGTGGGAAAATAATTTTTATAATATTTATAATGACGTAATTTAAGGTGAAAATAAATGTTATAATACTAATTTTCTAGTTTTTCTTAAATAGAGAAATAATTTTCGCATTATTCATAATTCATTATTTCTTTAGTACATGAAATCTCTATTTTTTATAAAATATGCACAAATGAATTCATAATGAAAAATTTCTGTTACAGCCTATATGATAATGTAGAAGATCATTTAAGTAATATTTTACATATGTAACATAGTATGCTGTGAATATCATATACATTACAATAATGAGAAATTGAATCTCAAGATGCATATATATTTAAGGTTTGGAAATGTGATTTATTATCTACATATATCAATATACAGCATATTAATATGGCATTATATTCTTCTCCTTAATTACATTCAACACATACATTGGTTCTATTTTTTTTTTAATGTATAATATAAACAAAACATATATTTATGACACATATTTCATAATTTATGTTTATGCAATAGTTATAAAATAATTACATTAAATTTAAACACACCATGTATTATATATATATATATAGACAACAGATTTATAATAATGGAAATTAAACCAGTGGAAAACTTAATAGAATAAATACAATTTACTAGATAATGTTTTTCATGAAAAATTTTCAAATGTACACTTTTTATTATATAAACAGTGGTAATCGAAATAATTAATAAAAATTTAATGTAGCAATACATTATTAGACTTAGTAATTAATAATTAAAGGTAATTACATTATAAATAAAAAAAATTCTAGAGAAGTATAGGGGATTAATCCTCAATTCAATATAAAAAGACATTGTAATTATTCCATAAAATAATATAATATAGTCCTAACATAATCGAAAAAGTTTCAAAGGAATTTAGTACTAAATAAGCAAAAAACTATATACATATACAATAAAGGAACTAAATGAAGTAGAAAAATAACATTTTATAAAAATAGGATTAAAATAAAATATATAAACTTTGTAACTCATTATATGAAGGTGTAAAGTAATCTGTTATAAATATGAAATCAGTTTTTAATTTTTCTTATCAACCATTAATTAATGCATTCTTTAGTTTTATTTGGTTTTATCTATACTATTATACACATCAACATATAAAATATATTTATATTATAACGGCATGTTATGATACCCTATATATTTTATTTATATTGGGATTAATAATATAAATATATTATATTGTATATTTTTATTTTGTCTAGTAGTTTACTAATCTTGGTCTCTGTGTATTAAATAATCACAAAGAAAAAAGTGACTTTATCTTATAAACGATTCTATGAAATATTTTTCAATAATTAGAAGGTTTTATTTTAATAGGCATTAGAATAAAAATTATAGGCATTGTCTTGCATTCACATATGATATTATATTTAATGAGTTAGCATATGATTTTATTGTATGAATAAAAAAATATATTCATTTAATATATTTGTATTGGGAATAAAATATAGTATTATAACATCACAATTTAATGATGTATTAGGGTTAATATTTTAACAAAAGTGTAAATTGCAAGAATTATAATTAAAATTTTTTTATAATACTATATAATTATAATGTACTCAAAAATAATTGAACACAAGATAAATGAAAATTTTTAATCGTGTCACATAAAAATATATAAACTATAGTACTTATATGGTAAGAAATATATTTTTAGGAGATATTGCAATTTTTAACTGCTACAAAATTTTTCTAATTATGAAATTTTTTTTTCAATTTTAGATGTAAATTATATATTAATGTTTCAATTATTATTAATTACTACTTTATTCTCTCAATATATAATATTTCACAAAAATTATTTTTTAAAATTAAAATATTATCAATCATTATGTGATATAATTATAACATATATATACAGATTAAGCCATTAGGAACTAAAGCATAATTCAAAAGAGAAAAATAATTAAATTATTGCATCTATTATTTTCGTAGTATTGTATGATTCCATTGTAAAAAATGTTATATCATTATAAAATTTAATTTATATAATAGAAAAATATATATTATCAAAATTAATTCAATTTTCATCCAAAACATTTTGTTTTTCTCACAGATTAAGTACAGAATTAAATGATTTGATAATTCAAAAAAAAAAAAAAAAGAAAGAAGAATTATTAAAAGTAATATTAAGTAATTTCATTAGGAAATATAAAAATATAATAAATATATAATGTTGTAAATTTAATGCTTTATTTTTATTTTGCAATTATATTATTAATCAATTATACTTCTAAGCACAACAAATGGTTTAATACTAAAATTTCAGAATTTGAAATTCAGTAATATATATAATATAATAAAAATATTTTTATATTATAATTATATTCATATTAGAGTGTTTTTATGTCTATTTTCTGTAATGCTCATTTTCTACAAAATAAAATGTTTCTTGTTATACACATATTTATAACATTGACTTACATCATATTTTAATATAATACTAAGTAATAGATAATTCCTAAATATGATTAAATAATGTCTTATCGATTTACATATAATTCTTATATATTATTCTAATTTATATTAATAGTATCCATAATTTTTTTATATATGTATAACTGTTACTCTGATACCTAAAACAAAAGCATATTTGCTATAATATACTCTATTCAATGCAATTATCATATATACACCTATAAGAAATAAAATAACGTAAATGTTAATTTTATATATATGCAAGTTAATAGAATAAATTAGCTTTAAATATGTGTATATATATTACCTGGAACTGTTATAAAATTTTGTGAATTTTATACAAATGAATTCAAGTAATAGTACTGATTAGAAAGAGTTATCATATTTCATTTCAAATTAAATAAATATTTCTTTATTAACCACTTAAAATAAATGAATATAATATATGTTAATATTTATTTCTTATATTTTTCATATTCTATATAAATTAATTTTCAGGAGAAATTTTTATGATTTTTGTGTCAATAATAGAAATGTAAAAACAAGAAGAAAAACACATATTTAAAATATGCGTCTTTATATTTATAAATTTATATTAATGAGTTAATAAAATTTATTATTTTGTTTAATTTACCTTCATTAATCTATTATATTATCTGAGATGGCTGAATCAATTGTACCATCTTGTTGTTATAATATAATTATTATCGCAATATTTGTACATTTCGTTTTCCTGGTTATTTTAAAACTTTGTTATACGAATTAATTTCCTATGCTTTTAACTTATTTTTTTTTAGTATGGATTTGTAAAAGATTTTGATCAATGTAAACAAATTATGGATAAAAATAAAAGCCATATAGATACCACATATAGAGAAATTGTAATCAAGTAGATGACGATATTTTTAATGAAATTACACCCAATGCGCAAAAATTATGTACTCAAGCTATGTCATATTTGTTTGAAATATATTATAATAAAAATGTTGATTTAAAGGGAGCTGGTTGTCTATTTCTCTATTATTCGTTATACAATGAAAGTATTAAACACGGGAAAAAGAGTAGCAATATAAAACAACTTCATGATAAATTTATCGATATATATAATAAAATTCATTATGGTAATACTATAGAAAAGGCTTATTACAAAGATATAAATAATGATGTTGTTAATAATCTTTCAGTTATATACAAAGTATTTTCTTGTATTAATAATACAGAAGTTAGTGATATATCTACTGATGGCAAGAATTTTTGTGATGCTGTAGAAATCATTAAAAATGAATATAATTTAATAATACTAGAAAAAGGTAGTGAAACTAGTAAACAACAAATATCAGAATATTGTCAATCTAATATTAAAATACCTATTATAATTACAATCCTTGTGTTACTAATACCATCTTTTCTTCTATTTATTTTATATAAGGTTAATAAAAGTATTAAATATATGTATATATAATAAAAAATAATTTTTCAAAGTAATCTATATTTAAATAATAATTTTTTCAATGAACTATAAATATATTTTCCTTTTATGTCTTAGTTCACACCATATGGCTCATACATTCTGTCTGCTATAAAATGGAAAAGAAAAGTGTACAATAATACAGATAAAGAATGGAATATAATGCAATCATCTGAAAATTTCAACGATCTTCCAAGAAATATGCAATATAAAATGTCCTACAACTCAGATAAGTTGTAGCATTGTATATAAAATTACAAAAACAGATTTCTTATAGGGTGCACAGAAAAGGATTTAAACAAATATTTATTATATTATTCCTCATAAAAACATCATATATAGTTAGAATAATGCATAAAATGCGTTTAAGTATTAAATTATCAATTCAATATAATAATAATTCAATTCAAGCAAGAAAAAAATATTACATATATTATTGAATACATAATATTTTAGAATTAAATATAGGTATAAATTACATTAATTTCTTAATTTATTATTATATAGTTTGAATAAATATGATTTTTTTTTTAAAATAAATTACAATATCTATTGAATATTATAATTTTAGCCCGTATTATAATTATAACTATAAATATTCATGGCGCTTGAGCAAATTATAAATAATAATTTATATACATATTATTCTATTATATAGTTTAATATAAAAGTACACGCTCACTTATCACATACAAATATTGATAATTAATATAGAATTACAATATTTTATATAAACGTATGTAATGTTTTCTTTCAAATTAGGATGTGTGACCGATAGTTAATAATATTAGTATGTATTATTTTATTAAATAAATAATTTATTCGTATATAGATATATATGAGTTCTAACATATTAATTTGTGATATTTTTATATGTTTCATATTATATTCCGATAATTTTTTTTTTTTTTGATCGTCTTTTTAATTAGTTAATAATTAATATTTTCACAATTTATATAACACTGAATGTGTTAATATGGTATATATAATCATAAAAATATAAATGAAATTTAATTTTTTTTTTTTGTAACAATGAAAAGTCCTATTATAACCTTCTTATATCTTATATATATTATATCTCAATCTAAATAATTACATTTTATTTTACTATCATTTATTTAGTTAAATTAATATTATATATATAATGATATAAAAATAAACAAATATAATTGCACCTTTATTTATCACTAATGTTATCTAAGTTCATATAGATAAGAAAATTTCTAACATATATTCTTATTTCTGATATCAATATAGAAAAGAAAAAATTTATCTAATAATAATGTAAGTATAAAAAATAATGAAAATAATAATATTAGAAAAATTTTAATTAATATATAAGGATAAAAAAAGAGTTATATTTTAGCAACTATAGGAATAAAAATTAATTATCATATATAATTTATATATAAATTTGCTATGTATTTATCTTTTTGCAAATTAAGAAATTTTGTAAATTTAATGATATTTTAATGGTGTTCTTTTATTTACATATTGTAATGTACATTATTACTATATTTTTTATAAAATGATCAATCTCTAAATTTCTGTATTTATTAGATAATCAGTTCTATAATTAATAATATCAAAAAATCACTAATTCAAGAATGAAAAAAATGCAGATTCATAAAAATATTATATATATTCCATTGGAAATAATAATCTTAATACATAAGTTTATTATTTATAACATACATATTTAAAAAATATTGTTTATTACACTCTACGTAAATAGTTAAATATATAGCAGCAATGTGTATGTATAGAGAATGTATTTCCTTTTTTGATATATATTCAATTGAGGTTGATATAGTATGAAAAGAAAAAATTACAAAATATTATAGAATAACATAAATTTACTTTTACTTTATATATTATTATATGCATAAATCCAAGAAGCATAAATATTCTGGTAACTTATATGAATTCATGCCTTAAAATTTTCTTAAGTCTCTATATATGGCGTTTAATCGATTTAAAGGAATAGAATATATACTACATACAGTACAGCTATTATAAATAAACACTTATCGGACATTATTTTATTAATAAAATATATTTGTAGCTGAACGAAGAAATTTTAGGACTACATAATATTTACAATATTATGATTTAAGTATATTTTTTGATATATATAATTACGTTTAAAATAATAATAACAAATTCTATAATAAATGTAATTTTTATTTATCTAAGGAAATATAACAATACGTTAATATCAAGCTAATCATATGTTTTGGAATCTTAAACAACAATTATTAATAATTACCTTAGTATAGTTTCATTATTCCCAAGAATTGTACGTTTTATTATCAAAATTAATTCAATAAGTGAATAAATATAAATTATTAATAAAATCTTATGATGTATTACTAAAAGAGCGTTAAAGGTTAATAAGGTCTTATTCAATTTATTACCTTAAATTTATATCTAAGTGAAATTTTACTATCTCAATTTCAAAGAAAAATTATTTTTTATAGAATAAATATATGCATAATATAAAGAATTATTAAAAAAATATATGTGTGCAATTAGACTTTTAATAACCAATGTAGCAAAGGATTATTTCGTAAATTTGTTGTATCAGTTTGTCCTAAATATTATTTATGGAATCAGTTTTAAATTAATGCATATGATGATAAAATATCCTAAAAATATTCAAATATTTTTCATACATTTTAATATTATAATTACTATGGCTTAAATTATTAAACATTAACATTTAGTGTATAATATTTACTCGTAACAATTGAGGACAATGTTATATATCAATTATATGATTATTAAATGTACATCTTCTATAATTTATTTTATAATTCATATATTAAAAGAAAAAGTATTGTTAATATAAATCTAATTTTAACAAAACAATCATATACAAGTGAAAAATCAGACAAATATACATTTACATTATATAAGTGTACATATTTATAAGATTTATTTGGTTTATTGTTAAATTTATGGTTTATAATATACTCTAATACAATAATATATATTCTCTTAATAATTCATATTTAAAAAAAAAAGGATAAATGTAAGAATACATTAATTTAAATATGGGAATATATTTTATCTGAATCATGCATATTATTTGTACACTGAAACTATCATTCTGTATGTAACAACATCATAAAAATTTGCAATTTTCAAGTATTATATAAAAATAAATGATATGCAAAACAAAACAGAGGTACTATTTCTCTCTTAAATGATATATATATGTTCATACATAAATTAATAAAAAAAATATTTTTAAGTAATAATAGGTATAGTAAAAATCGTTAATAAATAAAAAATATATATAGTAATACAATTTTAATGTTTATATTCTGTAAAATATTCACATATAATAAAACATGACAAATACTTTTCGGAAAAATATATGTAAATAATATATATAAATAAAATTATTTACAGTATAAAAATACAAAATAAATAAAAAAGAAGAAGGAAATACATATATGATATTAATGTAAATGAATTATTGTGATGCTTTAAGAAACAAATAACTACTATGCATTATCATTATATGTTTTATATACTTCTTATATTGAAGTTCACTACATTTATAATATATTAGAACGCGACCTTTGATTGATTTATCTATTTATAAATACATACAAGATTGCCTCTACAAGTTAAAGCAATGCAATTAGTATTGTTTCCCTCAATGCCTAATGTTAATATAAATATGATATTTTTAATTAACGAATTTGTAAAAATGACTTTTGTTTATTCTGTGTCGTTTAAATATAATATTGTTTTACTTTAATACTAATATATTTATTTCGTATAATCCCTTAATTTCTATTGATTCATATATTCATATTATTATATTTGGATATTTTAATGCACATTGATACTGCGACATATATATGAAATATAAAAGTAAAAAAATAAATTATATATAATATTACAAATATTT